AGGCCACAATAGGCCAAATATTGTGCGCATTGTTGGTTCCTAAGGACCAGGATACCACAGACCCGAGCAAATACCGCCCCATTACGTGTATACCGACCATATAAAAGACACAAACATCCATTTTGAGCGCGATAATCACTCGTCATCTGGACTCAAATCGGGTGATGACGCGCGCTCAAAATGGATGTCGGTGTGGTCGTCGTAGAATCAAGAAACCAATTCTCATTGAGGCGGTAATTCGCAAAGTGGTGAAACGCAACAGTCATAACTTCTCCGCCACCTGGATAGAGTACAGAAAGGCATTCGACTCGGTACCCCGTACATGGCTAAAGAGGGTCCTCGAACTATACATGATTGACTGTACAGTTAGAGACTTCCTCGAGCAGTGTATGAGGCAGTGGAGTACGATCCTTTGTCATCTGGACTGCGAAAAGCCGCGTAAGGATAAGAAAGTGAACTTCCAGGGCAACTGTCTGAGCCCAATCTAGTTCCGCTTCTCTTTGAATCCTCTCAGTACTTTACTGAAGGTCTCCGGGAGGGGATTTCAATTCCGGAAAGGAGATACCAAAAATGATCCACCTTTTCTATACAGATGACCTCAAGTTATTCGTTTCCAGTCGCTCTCATCTTGTGGAATTGCTAAACATCACTTGTGAATTTAGCAATTCTATTGGAATGGAGCTGGGGACGGATAATTGTGTGGTCCTCCATGTTGAAAGGGGAAGGGTTGCTAACACTGAGGGCATAGACTTATCTATGCCCGTCAACTTAAGAACCCTTTCCGAGGCTGAAACATACCGATACACGGGTATGTCACAGAACATCGGTATCGATGAGGCTGGTATGAAATAGTCAGTTGCGACGTATTTTTGCACGCTTGACCAAAGTGCTTAACAGCCTTTTGTCCAGTGCGAATAAGACACAAGCATATAACGGTTGGGTTATGCCTGTACTCATGTGTATCTTTGACATACTTACGTGGACATAAATTGAACTTAACGCCCTAGATAGAAAAGTTCGCACTACTATGACGATTCGAGCATTTCCGATATGTTACAGACAGGACTATTCTTGCGAATAAGCCTGATATTGTGCTGATGGACCGGGCACCGTCAAGGATATTTTTGATCGATATTATCGACGATTGTCGACATTCCGTATGTCGAGAACCTCGTGAAAGCCGAAACAGATAAGCGAACAAAATATCTGGACTTGGCTCACGAGGTGACCGACATGTGGGGTGGACTGTCGACCAAAATTATACCTGTAGTCGTTTCCGCAAACGGGCTAATCCCAGTCAGCCTCTCGGGTCATCAGAGGCGACTGGGACTCCGTGACGGACTGCTCCGGGCTCAAATGCAGAAGGCGGTGCTCTTCGATACTGCCCGCATTGTCCGCCGGTTTCTTTCCATTTCTCCCTAACCCTCGGCCGTTTGGTCTCCCCTGCCGAGGGCTTCTATCTGGTTGGGTTTTTATTTATTTATGTATTTTTGTATTTATTTTATTTCATTGATATTTATTTATATTTATCTTTTCATTTTCATTTATAATAATATATTTATAGAACACAACAAGATGAGAAAACTATATAGATACCCCCTATAATAATAATAATAATCGCTATTTGCAGAGCTGGGGCCATCTCTAACCACCACTTAGTTAAATCTGGCAGATTGTGTTCGGTATATTCTGCTGTTCAAAAAATATTTGATGACGCCGAACTCGAACCTATCATAGGATGAAATGCTACGGCTGAGAATGCGGCGCCACTAATTGCACAGCAACCTGCATTCGTGGATGCCGTCATGGATGTTCTCCTGGAATAGTCTCCCGAGAACTAGAGTAAATGAGGACCATATTGGATGTGATGTCGGAAACGCGCAGTATGCCTTTCAAAAATTGACCGCGACTTCCACCATTATGCAAGCGGAATTGGGCTGTTGCGCGGCCTCTTAACCAAATACTGGTGACCTATTTGGTAGCTAGCTAGGACTCAATTCTTTTTGGCGCCGCACTAGCACTTTATAAGTATTTTTGGTGCCAAACTTTCCACGGCTGGACGCGCTACTAGACAAAGTAGCATACTAGACAAGCGCTTGCAGAAAAAAATTGATAACCGTATCATCGGCAAACTGACGACCTTCAGGTCGGGAAATAATAGACCGAGAATTGTGCGCATCGTTAGAATGGCATTTGCTAAGACAAATATCAGTTTGTCCCAGCCGGATATCACATAGAAACTAACGGAGCGCATAGATGACCTGAAGCATAGTATCGCTGCTTGAGAGAAGCGGATTCGGCGATATACCGAGAGGTTAAGACAGTTCAACCAGAATCATCTCTTCAAGAGTGATCAGAAGAGTCGCATTCTGACGTGACCTGTGATGAGAGCCCAGAAACCACAGTAGGGCCTTTGATGGAAGTTGTGGCAAGCTAGAGTGAGAGTGTTACGCCTATAGACCCCGTCACCATAAAGTTGGAAGACGTGGCTGAGGCGGTCCGTAGGGTCCCGAACTGAAAAAGTCCGGGACTCGACGGGGTGCATCGCTATGGACTCCAGGGGTTCGTAGTGTGTCACGCTATGCTAGCCCAACATTTTCAAGAGGCTCTCGACCATAAGTCGCTTCCGAGCCTCTTCACTACAAGGATCACTCAATTGGTTCCTAAAGATCAGGATACCACAGACCCGAGCAAATAAAATAGAGACTTCATCGAGCAGTGTTTGGAGCGTTGGAGTACGATTATTTGTCATCAGAGCGAGCGGATGCTGGCTGCGGAGAACCACATAAGGATAAGAAGGGGTGTCTTTCAGGGCGATTATCTGAGTTCAATCTAGTACTGAATCTCTCTGAACCCTCTCTGTACCTTACTGGATTGCTCCGGGAGGAAATTTCAGCTACGCAAGGGAGGGGAAAAGTGACCCACCTTTTTATATGAATGATCTCAAGTTGTTCGCCTCCAGTCACTCCCATCTTATGGAAGTGTGCGATCCTCTACGTTGAAAGAGGAAATGTTGCTAACTCTGAGGGCACATACTTGTCTATGCCCATTTACTAAAAAAACCCTTTCTGAGGCTGAAACATACCAATACTTGGGTATGTTATTGAATATCAGTATCGATAAGGCGGGTACAAAACAATCAATATGCGACGTGTTTTATGCACGCTTGACCAAAGTGCTTAACAGCCCTTTGTCCGTTGAGAGTCAGACACACATATATAACGGTTGGGTCATGCCTGTCCTCATGTTTACGTTTGGCATACCCAGGTGAACTCAGACTGAACTTAACGCCTTGAATAGAAAAGTCCGCAATACCATGATATCCCATAGAATGCGTCATCCAATATCGTCGGTAATGAGCGAGTACTTGTCGCGAAAGAATGGTGGGCGTGGCTTTTTGAGCGCATTCACCATGCATAATCGCGAATTGTGCAGCCTCCCTAATTATTTCCTCGCGAGATCAAATGATCCGTTCTATAATGACGTCATTTCTTCTGATAAAGGACTAACCCCTCTATCCTTAGCCAACGAGCAATAGAAGAACCCGGCAGTACATAGCATTTCTGACCGTGAAACCGTATGGAAGGAGAAGAAGCTCCACGGGAGGTTCTACAAGTCTACATAAGCCTTTCGTAGATACAGTCGCCTCCCTCAACTGGCTACGTTCCGGTGACCTCTTCAGGGAAACCGAGGGTTTTGTTTGTGCAATACAGGATCTGGTTATTAAGACCAACAACTATCGGAGATACGATGTGTCATATTGTAACATGAAAATTTTCGTGTACTTCATTTTAGCATATTTATGTTATTACATTCGATGAACGGACATCAGTGCGCCATCTAACGTCATTAGTCCGAAGTAACTAGAAACGTATATTGACGAATCGAGCTAGCTAATTGCATGCAATTGACCTTTAGTGTTAGTTCAAAATCCTACCACGGATCGACGATGGCGCGTAGCCCAAGGGAGGCCTAGTTTTTTTTTTGGAGCGAGCCGTTGTAATGATCGGATACGCACATACATAATTTTTGAATCGAAACGCCGGAACATGAATTTAAAGTGACGAGTACTTGGGCGTACGGCCCCTTAAACACAATGTCTACAGGCAGTTTAATGTGTTGAAACACATCATCCCATAAATTGGATCCTTAGTCCTTACTTTGAGTATGGTCCATTATCAAGTTTAACTATGTGAACGAGGCGAGGCAGCTTCAACTGGTGGCTATATTGGGACTGGGCGGCCTGGAGACCGCGACCGGAGTACACCTGGAGGACATCTGTTACCTCATTGCTTCGCAGGATTGACCATAAACAGTGTAATATTGTGTAATCCATCAGGTTAGTCAAAAACCTCAGTTTCCAAGGTATTTTAAAGTGACAACTTGATATTTAGAGCTATCCGTATGAACTTTAGAAGGAAATAAACTACCTTTTGTCTGTATATGTATCTTTGAATTTTCATTTACTAATCATCCAACCACAGGCGCCCTGGGATACTTTTATTTTGATACTCGAGTCTTTTAACTCTCCGATAACCGTAACCGGTGAGTAACGCCCTAAAAAGTGTTATAAAGTGGCTACTCAACGTTGAACCTTAAGTTGCTGGATGTTAGTAGATGAATTAACCTTAATTGTAACTATTTAAGCTGTTAAAAACCCATTTCATATGAAAACTTAGTGAAATTTAATGTTAACATTTTTTTGATGTAGGTAGATTTAAGTAAGCTTGAGAACAAAGAAAGTTTAACTTGAATGTGATTTATATGTACTTAAATGAATTAAAACTTAACATAATAAAAATATTTGTGCTATTTTAAGTAGATATTTTTAATATCAACCGATTTAAGACTTTTTTGTAACCGTCAGTACATTTTAACAAAATGTCGATCCACAAGTATATAGACTCATTACATAAAGATGAAATCAGATATGAACTCGCCATTATTGGTGTTCCCACAGATGAAAATGTAACTACAACAAACTCGCACGCCGTGGAAGCATGAAGTGTGAACCATTCCAGTCACCCAGTATAGCCTCTGAACTAGAGATCTCCACCCCAAAGGTCGAACTTCTGGAATCCCAGCTGCAGGCGGGTATAGTAGATGATCGCAATTTGACTCTTAAACTGTCTCGTCGTGCAAATTATTTGATGGATAGGCTGGCTCGTATCTCTGAAAGTAGTTCGCATTTGTCAGATCTTCGTAGTCGTTTGATTCGCATTTTGAGTGTCATAAACGGTGAAGATAGCGACACGGATAGTGAATACAAGGAGACCCAGGCACAACCGCCTAACCAGAAAGTGGAAAGTGAAAAAGTGATCTATGTGAAAGATAAACCCTTGAACCTAAATACATTTAACTTAAAATTTGACGGAACCACGTGTGTTCGTGTATTTATTGAACGTCTTGAGGAACTTAAAGAGGCTCGCAACATTACTGAAGCTCGCATACTTTCAGCTTTTTCTGATCTTTTAGAAAACTCTGCTTTATGTTGGTTTAGCAGTAATAACGATAATATCCACTCATATTCACAATTATTGAAATGCTTAAGGGACGACTTTGATATTCCCGATTTAGACTATAAACTATTAAATGAAATAAGGCAACGTACACAGGCCAGACACGAAACGATAGTAGTCTATCTTTTTCATTATGCAGGGAATGTTTTCGCGACTCACCCACCCGTTGTCGAATAGACAACAACTCGAAATCTTGATGCATAACATTAGACCAGAGTACATGAAAGATTTAACTTTATATAATATAACCTCTGTAGACAAACTTAAACTTTATTGTAAACAGTTAGAAATTGCGCGGTCGCGTGCGGAACAATTTAGTGACCCTAACTTGAATAACTTTAAAATTACAGCAAAATTAATAAACAAACGCCGCGATCTCACAGTAAACAAGTCTCTGTGCTGAATGAAGCTGGCTCTTCGAGACAATTGGATAGGAAATGCTTTAGGTGTAGATTAAACAATCATTTCACTAATCAATGCGATTCGAAAGAGTTAGTGTGTTTTAAGTGTGGATTAAAAGGTGTTAAGTGTACAGATTGTAGTAATTGCAATTCAAAAAACTAGTTAACACGGAACTAATGCGTTAAAACGTCCAATAATGAAGAGGTAGTTCTGTTTAAAAAAATACTAGTGATATAAGACCATACTTAAAATTAAAATGTTGAACTTACAAGCTTTTTGCTTATTGGATCGGGTGCAACTTGTAGCATTCTTGGAAATAATGCGCATTTGATCTTTCTAGAACACGGATTTCAACTCAACCGGTTTGACACTGAGCATTACGTAAGAACTACAGATGGTACGAGATTGCATTGCTTAGGGTATATGTCCTTACCTATTGAATTTAACAATAATTTCAGAGTGATTAACTTTTATGTTGTTGCACAAATAACTTCACCTATAATTCTAGGTGTTGATTTTTGGCAGGTGTTTGACTTAGGGAGTGACCTTGTATCCGAAGTACAGTTTGACCGAAAGTCGGAGTCACCAATAAGTAATAGCATAAATTCGGTTTCTCTTAAGAAAGGCCTTGAAGAATACGAGTCTTTATCCATAGAACAAAAACAAATCATGGATAATTTAATCCAACAGTTTGATACAATTAACACAGTTAAAGTAGGTTTGGGACGTACCAATTTAATTCATCACGTCATAGACACAGGGGATAGTAAACCTATTAAGCAAAGGTACTATCCATTATCACCTGTTAAGCAACAAGCACTTGAAAAAGAATTGGATAGAATGCTTAGTTTGGGAGTTGTGTCACCTTCACAGTCAGCTTCAACTCACCTGTAGTAATGGTTCAGAAGCCAAATGGGGACCTAAGGCTTTGTCTAGATTGTAGAAAATTAAATGCAGTTTCCAAACCCGATGCGTATCCTCTCCCGTATATAAGCAGCATATTGGATCAGCTCCGCGACGCGAAATACCTAACGTCAATAGATCTTTCCGCTGCGTATTGGCAAATGCCCTATGATAGCGAGCAATCAGCTGATAAGACCGCGTTCACAGTGCCACGCCGGGAGTTATTTAGATTCAATGTAATGTCCTTTGGCCTTGTTTCCGCGTCAAGCACAATGCAGAGATTAATGGATAGGCTATTTGGTCCCGAATTTAACAACAAAGTATTCTGTTTCCAAGATGACATAATCATAATATCCAGCCCTTTCTCAGAACATGTGCAGCTCTTGCATAAGGTCTACGCAAAACTCAGGGACGCAAACTTGACTATAAACATGGATAAGTCTATCTTTTGCCGTAGAGAACTTAAGTACTTGGGATATTTAGTTGACAAACATGGACTTAGAACTGATCCGGGAAAGGTAGATATTATATTGAATTATCCAACTCCAACTTCCGCTAAAGAGGTTAAAAGGTTTCTAGGCATGGCAGGCTGGTACAGGAGGTTCATTAACAATTTTTCGAAAATTAGTAAACCGTTGAATAAATTAACTAGCAAAAATGTCCGCTTTGAATGGACTACGGAGGCAGATGAGTCATTTAACCACTTAAAAACCGCTTTAGTGTCTGCTCCGATACTTAAATGTCCAAACTTTGAGTTGCCTTTTTCTATCCATTGTGACGCTTCCTCAGTGGCTGTGGGCTGAGTCTTAACCCAGACTTATGACGGGGTAGAACATCCCATAGCATACTGCAGTCGGTCTCTTGCAAAAAATGAAATTAATTTTTCCACATCGGAGAGAGAACTTATGGCCGTGATTTACGCATTATAGCAATTTAGATCTTATGTAGAAGGTACAAAGTGTAAAATAATAACCGACCACGCCTCGTTATTATGGTTTTATAAATTAAATAACCCATCAGATCGCTTAGCCAGGTGGAGCATGCGATTGAGTCAATTTGATTTCGAAATAGAACACAGAAAAGGTAAATTAAATGTTATTCCAGACGCACTAAGTAGGATTCAGGTTGATGCAATCGCTACGTCGGCAACCAGTGATGCATGGTATAGACATGTATACGAAGATTGTCAGGCCAACCCTCGCAAATATCCCCACTTCATGGCAAAAGACGATAGACTGCTTAGGTACTCTAAAAATAAATATGAGTTAACGAATGAGTTTAATTGTAAGTTAGTGGTACCCGAGGAAGACAGGTTAGGTATTTTAAAGAAATGTCATGATGAACTAGTTAGTGCTCATTTGGGTGTCTTTAAAACCCACAGGCGTCTTAGTCTTAATTATTACTGGCCCAGCATGTACCGAGATGTGAAAGAATATATTAAAAAATGCGAGATATGTAAACAATATAAACCCGTCAACACGGCTAGACCTGGTTTAATGGGAAACCCGAAGGAGGTTAACAAACCCTGTCGCTAAGTTCATAGAAGAGAAAGTGTTCCTAGTACATGGCGTATGTAAGACTATCTATATTGACAATGGCCTACAGTTTGTGTCTAATCAGTTTAGGCAACTGTTACATAAATATAACGTACCGAATATCTATTATAACCCGCGTTATCACCCACAGGTAAATCAAGCCGAAAGAGCGATTAGGAACGTAGTTAACGGTATATCATGTTATGTAGGTACCGAGCATAAACGATGGGACGAGAACATCCCACAGTTGCAATGCGCACTTAATTCAGCCGTGAATGATACCACTAAGTTTACTCCGTATTTTCTTGTGCACGGACGGGAATTCATAATAGATGGAATGTTACACAGCTTAGATAGCACTCAGCCAGTTCAAAGATCTCAAGTAACTCTCGGTGAACCACAAGCATACAGTAAAAAATTAGCGGAATTAGACACCATATTTAAAAAGGTACAAAAGCATATTTAAAATGCTCATTCTAGAAATGAAAAGTACTATAACTTAAGAAAACGACTTGTTGAGTTAAAAGTAGGTCAGATTGTATATAAACGTACCCATTACCTATCTAATGCCTCAAAGAGATTTACGGCTAAACTAGCACCAAAATTTCAAAAATGTGTCATAACAGCGAAATTATCATCTTTAGTGTATACCTTAGCCAGCATGGAAGGTAAGACACTAGGTAATTTTCACATAAAAGACATCCTTAAACAAGATGACTAATAGTTTTGTAGAATGTGAGTGAAGAATATGATTGAGTGAAAGAATATAAGAATAATAAACATTTTCAAAATTTATTTCCACCGGTGAACTTTTTGAGATAAATAAGCTGTGATTGTATTGATGAACGAGCGATACATAACTAGTAGGTTACCTTATGTTGTGAACATCGGCGCGAGTTAGATAAGAACTTGTTCTTTATGCCCGCACTCTGGACATTTTATAAGAAAATGCCTAACAGGCAGTGCGTAGCCTTACTTAAGCCGTTTCTTTTAACTTAATATGATTAAACGTTAATTCACTTAACTTAATGCGGGATAGATATTTAACTTAACTTAATACTTAATATGATTTCCAAATCACTTAACTACTCAACTTAATAAACAAGAACACGTTCGTTTTTCGACTACTTAGAGAAAAGGCAAGTCGAAACGTAAACATCGTGAGTAAGCTTAGTGCACTGTAGGTATTCGTTTCTGTCCCGTGATGTTACGAGTACGTCACGCGCCGCATGAATGGTAATAGACTATTCGCGCGTAGGATTCGGGAACGTAATTATTCATAGGTAGTAAAAAAAGATGTATTTTACTAGCAAAAAAAACATGTAGGAATAAATGTAAATAAAGTTGCATGCCATTAGATTAATATAGGTATAACAATTTAACAATTAGTGTAGTATTTTCTAAATTACATCACAAGTAGGTAAATTTGTGGTAGTGTTTTTTTTTGGTGTCAACAACACAAGTAGGTAATTACATTTTGAGATTAAATTGTTTAGTGGAATATAATGTTACTAGGTATACAGATACAGAAATGAAAATTAGGTAATAAGTAGAGTAATAATGAGCCTTGTGTAAGATTAAACGTCGTAATTAAGTGATTAAGTGATGGCTTGGTACTTGTTAGTTGTTGGTGCATGGGTGACTTGGAATTTACTATCCGTGCGAATATTTTTAGTCAGATTGGATTAGAGACACATTACAACTTCTTCACTGTCTTTGGTATTCAGGCGTTGTTCTGCAGGTGGCACGAGATGTCTTCGGAAAAAGTATCTTCATTACGAAGAACTTTTTAACCCAAGCAAAGGGGATGTGTAACACGAAAATTTTCGTGTACTTCATTTTAGCATATTTATGTTATTACATTCGATGAACGGACATCAGTGCGCCATCTAACGTCATTAGTCCGAAGTAACTAGAAACGTATATTGACGAATCGAGCTAGCTAATTGCATGCAATTGACCTTTCGTGTTAGTTCGAAATCCTACCACGGATCGACGATGGCGCGTAGCCCAAGGGAGGCCTACTTTTTTTTTTTTTTTGGAGCGAGCCGTTGTAATGATCGGACACGCACATATATCATTTTTGAATCGAAACGCCGGAACATGAATTTAAAGTGACGAGTACTTGGGCGTACGGCCCCTTAAACACAATGTCTACAGGCAGTTTAATGTGTTGAAACACATCATCCCATAAATTGGATCCTTAGTCCTTACTTTGAGTATGGTCCATTATCAAGTTTAACTATGTGAACGAGGCGAGGCAGCTTCAACTGGTGGCTATATTGGGACTGGGCGGCCTGGAGACCGCGACCGGAGTACACCTGGAGGACATCTGTTACCTCACTGCTTCGCGGGATTGACCATAAACAGTGTAATATTGTGTAATCCACCAGGTTAGTCAAAAACCTCAGTTCCCAGGGTATTTTAAAGTGACAACTTGATATTTGGAGCTATCCGTATGAAATTTAGAAGGAAATAAACTACCTTTTGTCTGCATATGTACCTTTGAATTTTCATTTACTAATCATCCAACCACAGGCGCCCTGGGATACTTTTATTTTGATACTCGAGTCTTTTAACTCTCCGATGACCGTAGCCGGTTAGTAACGCCCTAAAAAGTGTTATAATATGTGGTCATACAGTAATTCACTTAGGCATGTCATCTCTGGTTGTTCGGCGCTTTCTAACTCTTGAGTACTTGCACTGGCACAAGCTAGTAGCCAGGATTCTACACACGGAGCTCGCTCTGAAATACGGATACGGAAACTGCCTTATATCTTTAACTGCCTTACAGACAGGACTTTCTTGCGAATAAGTCTGATATTGTGCTGGTGGACCAGGCACAGTCACGGCTAGTTTTGGTCGACATTACCATTCCTTATGACGAAAACCTGGTGAAAGTCAAATTAGATAAGAAAACAAAATATCTGGACTTGGCTGACAAGGCGACCGACATTTGGGCCGGTCTACCGACTGAAATTATTCCTGTAGTCGTCTCTGCTAATGGGCTAATCCTGGTCAGCCTCTTGGGTTGTCTGAGGTGACTGGGATTCCGTGATGGACCGCTACGGGCAAAAATGCAGAAGGCGGTGCTCCTCGATACGGCCTGCATCGTCCGCCGGTTTTTTTCCTTTCCCCCTAACGCTCGACCATTTGGACTCCCCTGCCGAGGGTCTCCATCTGGTTGGGCTTATATATATATATAAATGTGTGTGTGTGTGTGTGTATGTGTGTGTGTATGTTTGTGTGTGTGTGTATGTGTGTTGGTATATTCAATACATATTTATCATCTCCTTTATATATAAAGAGGCAGTGCCGGATTAATCACGTAGCAAGAATGGTAATTGCTACGGGCCCCGCGTGCCCAAGTAGATATATATCTCTTGGCTCTTTGGATCATTTACTGATCCGAAGAACAGTGGCCATCACTTGCTCATTGCAGGCATGATCTGAGAC